CTTCCCGGTGGGGCTTCGGCTGGCAGGCTGTGGTACGCACGCCTCGCCGACCCCGGTTGGTGTGCCCACCCTGGGGCTTGAGGCCGGCGGGAGAGTAGAGGAGGGAGGTGTCCGGGCATTTTCATTGGTCTTCGGCGGTTTTCCAGTCTCGCCAGGGGCGTTCTGCGGGTGCCCAGGTCGTCCCATCGAGTCGCGACCAAAACATGACGGGAGGCTTGCTGCCATGTTCGGTTTCGGGGGGGTTCTCGCCAGGCCCCAGGGCAGTCGAAAAACGATTCGGGATGAGAAAGGAGTCCCGGGGAATGGGTCGAGTCCTCGGGGGGTCCACGTTGTGGACAATCATGACGTCGCAAGTCTGGGGAAGGAGAAATCCTTGCGGTCCGCGCGTCGCACTTTTTGTTCAAAACCGGGCGATGTTGCCTTGTTTCGGGCCCCGAGGCCTTGGCCCGTGCCCATCCTGGGCACGGGGCCAGCGAGTCCGAGGAGAGACAGAGGGAGAAGAAGGACCCAGATCTCCGACGACATGATTTTTGCAGTTCAGTTTCTTGATTCTGCCCAAGGGGCCTGTTTCGCGCCTCTGGGTCATCAAACATGGATCCCGGGCGCAAAATTACCCAGGGTGAAGCGGTCGAGACCTCATGGGACGCGGATTGAAACAAATCGATGCATGTCAAGAGAGGAGGATGTTGAGGGAGGGGGAAGAGGACTGTGGAGGAGGAGGAGGAGGCGGAGGAGGAGGGGGAGGAGTAGGAGGAGGACGAGGAGGAGGAAGAGAGGAGAGGAGGAGGAGGAGGAGGGGAGGAGAGGAGAGAGAGGAGCAGGAGGAGAGAGGGGGGGAGGGAGGAGGAGAAGCGAAGGAGGGGAGGAGGGAGGAGGGGGATCCTTTCCGGCCTGGCTCGAAGAAGGAAGATTTGCAGACATTTAGGTAATGTGTTGGAGGTCGTTGCGGATTTCGTGGATCGGCGCTGGTTAAGCAAAGACCAACGGAGGAAGGAGGGGAAGTTGGAGTATCAAGAGTCGACGTTTGTTTCGGGTGATGCTGTTTGTTTGTTTGTTTGTGTTGTTGCTGTTGTTGGTGTTGTCGTTGGTCTTGTTGTTGATGTTGATGTTGTTGATCTTGCTGTTGTTGTTGTTATTGCTGTTGTTGGTGTCATTGTTGTTGTTGTTGGTGTTGTTGTTGTTGGTGGTGGTGTTGTTGTTGTTGTCTTGGTTGTTGTTGTTGTTGTTGTTGTTGCTGTTGTTGTTGTTTGGTTGTTTCTTTGTTTGTTTGTCTGTTAGTTTTGTTGTTGAATATTATTACTTCTAAAGAAATATTATTGTTGAGACCCCTGGTGCGCGACCCCCCTCCAAAACCTAGGCCGCAGCCTCATTTCCTTCATTTTCTAGCGAAAGCTTCAGAAAAGTGGATTGTCACCGGATCCGGTTGTTTTGTTGTAATCCGTTTTCCCTTGCAAAAAACACTATAAAATAAAATTCTTGTTCTTACTTGATCAAATTGCAAGAATCCCTTGCAAAAAATAAGGTAAAGTGGACATTCGTGCGCGCAAGACGAAATCCTTCCAAAACCTTAGGTTTCGTAGCGATTTTAACATAAAAACATCAAAACCCAATGGTTTTTTAAGAAACAATTGTCAAAATGTCCTTCCGCGCGCGCTGTCCGAATCCCACAAAACCAATGGTTTTTCAACATTTATGTTACATGAGCTCGCGCGAGCTACTTTTTCTTGTTCTAACATAATCAAATTTCAATAATCCCTTGCAACAAATAAGGTAAAGTGGACATTCGCGCGCGCAAGACGAAATCCTTCCAGAACCTTAGGTTTCGTAACGATTTCAACATAAAAACATCAAAAACCCCATGGTTTTTCAAAAAAAATGTCCAAATTTCATCCCGCGCGCGCTGTCCGACTCCCACAAAACCAATGGTTTTCCAACATTTATGTTACATGAGCTCGCGCGAGCTACTTTTTCTTGTTCTAACATAATCAAATTTCAATACTCCCTTGCAAAAAAAAATAAAGTGGACATTCGCGCGCGCAAGACCAACAAAAAACACGACGATCTCAGGAACTTGCCCCAAAAATGTGACCAACTCCGCTCTCTCTGTCTCTCTCTCTGTCTGCTCTCTGTCTCTCTCTCTGTCTGTCTGTGTCATGTATTGTATGTCACAATTGCAGGATGCTGGGCACACGCGCGCCCCGAATAAGTGACCAAGTTCTGTGGGTGTGTACCCCACGCCAGTGTAGTAGCCACGGTCGTCCGCACGCCACGAAGTGAAGTGTCCCAACGTCATAGGTCGGGAAGCTGGGTTTGGGTGGTCGCGAAGAGTCGTTTGGATTATATATTTATCTAGCTTGAAACTCCCCTCACGAAAGTGGGGTATTGTCTCGCGTCGCATGAAAACCCTGGCACTGGTGAGAAAAACTGATCGTTCGGTAAAATATTGGTGTTGTTGTTTTTTGTTGTTGAACATTATTAATTCTAAAGAATAATTATTGTTGGGCCCCCTGGTGCGCGCCCCCCCTGCGCCGCCTAGTCCGCAGCTACATTTTCATCATTTTCGTGAGGAAGCCTCAGAAAAGAGGGTGTGTACAGGATCCGGTTGTTTTGTTGTAATCCGCTTTCCCTTGCAAAAAACAATAGAAAATGACATTTCTTGTTCCAATATAATCAAATTTCAAGAATCCCTTGCAAAAAATAAGGTAAAGTGGACATTCGCGCGCGCAAGACGAAATCCTTCCAAAACCTTAGTGTTCGCAGCGATTTTAACATAAAAACATCAAAAAAAAACCAATGGTTTTTAACAACAAATTGTCAAAATCTCATCCCGCGCGCTCTTGCGGATTCGTAGGAAAACCAACACTTTTCAAACATTTCTGTCAAACGGGCTTTTGCGAGCAACTTTTTCGAACTTCTGCGACAACGGTTGCGCACCTGCCAGGGCCATCATCCCTGTCAAATAATACCATGCGGGACACATTCGTTTTTTGCGCGCGCACGCCGAAATCTCAAAAAACCATTGGGTTCTTAAGAATTTTAGCACCGCGCATCATAAAATCACACGAATCGCACCGTAGGTCCTCGAAAAACACCTGCACGACTTTTCAAAATTTCCACCCGCGCGCGCTGTCCGAATCCTAAAAAAAAAACAATGGTTTCCCAACATTTATGTTACATGAGCTCGCGCGAGCTACTTTCGCACGCTCTTGCAACGGGGTTCGCGCGCCTGCCAGGGGCCATAATCCCTTGCGGTTGCGCCATAGGTTGCGCCCTCGGCCGCCGAGAATAAAACAGGACAACCATCGGGACAACCATCGAGACAACCATCGGGACAACCATATCCTCTCTCTCTTGTGTATTCCCACATCCCTCAGGAATTTGCCCTAAAGATGTGATCAACTATCTTGTGAGTACGTATCATGTGTATCATGTGTATCATGTACCATATGCATCATATGCAACAGATGTTCTGTGGAAGGCTTAACAACTTCTGTGGGTTCACAAGGCTTAACAACTTCTGTGGGTGTACGAACGTAGGCTTAACAACTTCTGTGGGTGTGTACTCCACGCCAGTGTAGTAGCCACGGTCGTCCGCAGGCCACGAAGTGAAGTGTCCGAACGTCATAGGGCGGGAAGCTGGGTGTGGGTGGTGGCGAAGAGTCGTGTGGTTATTTTGTAGAGCTTGCACTGGGGGCACTGGGCTGGGACTGGCTGGGGGGGGCTGGGAGGGGGGGGGGGGGGGGGGGGTGACTGGGGCTGCTGGGTGGCACTGCTGGGGGCTGACTGCTGGGGGGGCGGCTGGGGCTGGGCTGGGACTGTGTGGGGGGGGGGGTGGGGGGGGCTGGCTGGGCATGGCGGGGGACACTGCTGGGGGGGCCTGGGGGGGGGGCTGGGGGGACTGGGGTGTGGGGGGGGGGCCACTGGGACTGGGCTGGGACTGGGGACTGGCTGGGGGGGGGGGGCCCCCCCACAAAGTGGGGGTATTGGCTGGCGTCGCATGAAAACCCTGGCACTGGTGAGAACACTGAGCGTTCGGGTAAAGTGATTGTTGTTGTTGTTGTTGTTGTTTCTTTTTTGGAGGGGGAGGGGGGAGGGGTAGGAGGACTTTTGTGGAGTGTTGATTCTTGGGGTGCCCACGGATGCGATAACATTTATGTTCGCGCCGATGTTTTGGTGAGGGCACGTGTTCGGCTCTCTTCAGACGCAAGACCCATTTGTGTCCATGAGTTTTTTTGACCCGCTTGAGCACTAGCTGACTTGCACCTGAGCCCAAATGGCAACGGACAATTGTGTGAGAACCGAAGCGCAGAAGCACGACACGCAACAGCTCTTACGTATACCCGCCCATCGTGGCAACTTGTTGGTGGCCCATCATATGAATACAATTGTTGTGCTGCGCGTGTCATACTTGTCACTGGCCGCCTGCCAGGCATTTGGTCAGGAACCTCAAGATGTAGGTGGCGCCCTGTTCGTCGATGCTGGGAATGGCTGCGTCGATGGAATATATCAGATGTCTATTGCAGGGGTGGGGGGCCATCTCTTCCTTGGAAGACCTTGAATACCTCTATGCCGCAAGCAAAATACAGGTCGTGAAGTGGCATCCGCCGCCAAGCCGCTGACACGACAGGGAGTGAGTGGCCCATCTGCAACAGCTCCGTGAAGTAACTCAGAATATTCAACATGCAAGCGATACGAATAGGCTTCAGTTGGCGGAGCCGGGCCTCCTTTCACACGAATATCTGTGGCAATTTCATCGCGTCTGTTTTGCGGTCCCCACGTAAGCTGGAAACATCTCTTTGGCCTTGCAGCGTGGTCTTTCGAGCCAGACTGCACCATCGTTGGGAGACGACGGGCCGACACCAACGCCAGACAACGTCACGCACAATGAGAGGTCACATTATATCAAGTACGCGGCATCTCGAGCAGCACTGTGGCGCATAAGCTGAGACCAGCAAGTGTCCGATACAATGGTCGCACATATCCGGCTCACGAAACACTGC